AGACTGTTTCCTGAAATAAACTTCACTCACTGCACTTTCTTCCAGCTTCAGTTTGATCCGTCTGTCCTCAAAGTCCTTTAGCAGTGTCTCAGTCAGTCCTTTCTGGGAAGAAGGCGATGGCGGGTCAGCAAGTACGCTCAAGGGCTTGATGGGGGTTACCCGGGAAACAGTTGGGGACATGGGTTTTGGGCTGCCCCATGGCTGGGGTGTCATAATTGACATAGAGGGAAGTCTGAAACTGGGTCGCGGTGAGGACAACTGTGGACTTTTATCTTTAGAGATAAACAAAGAAAAACAAGAGATTATGGTTATGATTCATTCACCTACTTATACAAGTCAATTCCCATACGTTTTCAGTGAACTACAGTGTTTAAAAATGTTAGAATACTGTTAATCATGTTTTCCATAGGACATTTTTTAAATGAATACATCTGAACATACTGTATGTCTTATGTAGTCTTATTTTCATTATGGATACTGATCCTGAACTGACAAGTGTGCTGTGACCTCAGCCTGACATGAATCCTTGTAGAGGGCACTAATCACCAGCGCAAATTGTATTGGAAATCAAGACATAGCATGTATGCATGTCATTGTCCGAAAAGCAACCTTTAACTTGAAATGTGCATTTACATCCATAAAGTAAATGATTAATCATTCTTCAATGAAGCAGAATGCCATGGTATGTCCAAAGTTCAGAAACTATGTTGGCAATTCCTTCTCATTCCTTGGTGCTGCTGACATCCATAAACATTTAACACTTAAATTAATCATTTAGCTATGAACAAGAAAGTTATGAAATGCACTTGCCACAAACATTATACAGAATAATAAGACAGTTTCCCAGCAAAAGGCAGTTAGACAGACAATAATGCCTGTATCCCACCTCCCCCCTAAACCATTTGCTATGTTTAGCATGTATGAGTGCAGCGAGACTGAACAGTTATACCTGTAATGGATAATCGAGAAGTGTCCAGACTCCAGGAATAAGGATTACTATAATTAGTCTTCTTTTCTGGAAGTACAGAATCCACTTCTGCCATGTTCCCATGTGGAGTTTGTGGTGAAAACACAGTTTCCTCACTGGTTAGTGGGGACCTGGGTTCAGAGGAAGTTAGCGCTGGATTCACGGATGCTGAGTTGGGTACTGAGAAAGACTGACTACTGGACTCTCTCAGCTCTTGGAGCTCTTGTTCTCGTCTGAGGTCTTCTTCGATTTCTTGACGGATGTTGTTTGGGGCATTCTGAATTTTGGGGCTCCAGTCGGTGTACTCAAGGTGAGATCGCCAGGTAGGAGTGTACCGACTAGTTTTTGTGGGTTCCAGTGGGGACGGAGTATTTCGAGAGTAAAATCTGTTCTTTCCTGACATACTGTTGTCATTTTCCACAATCCAGGATGGCCCTTTCTTCGTTCTGGGATTATCGGTTTGGCACTCAACACCATTTTCTTTATGAACCCTTACTTTAGAATGGTTGTTGTCCTCAGGATATGCACTTACTTGGTTTCCAAAAGTGCTGCTGTCAGTGTTTCTCTGAAGGATAGATTCATCAGGATGTCGATGAGGACAGCAAGGCGAAAGATCTTCTTTTGAGTCCAAGAGGTCACCTTCCTCTACTAGGGCAGGTTGCTCTGTAATCCACATGTCATCTGCAGAGACTGTGCTTTGCTCTAAATCAGTTGTGGGACTTTTGCTTAGACTCGCCCTCAAAGATGTGACTGGAATTTCATCCGGTTGTGACTCAACTGACTTCTTATTGTCCTGTACTTGGTTCTCTTGGGTATTATGGCTTAAAACACTGTTTGTGATCTGTCGCAGTTTCTCAAGTTCAAGCTCTCTCCGAATAAGGAAACTCACTCTGTTTGGTTCTTTGGTTTTTGGAGCTTTCACCTGTGGAGATGAAAGGGACAGAATTGGCTTTATCCTGATTTCCACCATCTCTGAATTGTCTTTGTGCAAGATACCCCTTGATCGA